ATCTATTATATTCGACAGTTATTCTTTTGACGTTTTTGATAATAAATATCATTGTTAGTGAACTAGATACTGGTTGAACTGATTTCATTCGACTTCTAAAACTATATGATCAAAATTGAAATGCATTTAAAATCATATAAATTAGTCGAGATGAAATTTTTATACTAAAACGAAGATTTATTCTGATATATTTAATAGAATAAAACCTGCAAAACTTTTACTTATAATGTTGCTGTTCCGAAAAAAAAGAAATACACATTTCTTTCAAAATTTCTGTAAACAATCGAATCTCAGAAAAATTCAATATTTCAGATGAATTCATCGAACAGCAGATGCAGTTAGAGTAAAATTCGTAAATCATAAAAATAATAATCTTATTTTTTTTCTCGATTCACACATCTGACTGTTTTATGAGAGTGAATTCTGGGCCATCGTATAAAAGTAACGTATATTTAATTTTACGATCTAATAACAATATAGATTTTGAACAAAAATAAATAAAAAAGAGAGCCATTCAGCTCTAACTGATCATAAGCGAGAATACAACATTCATGTCTATTACACACCATTTTACATCAATAAAATAATCTTAACAAAAACGTTGTTTACAATTGTTACGGCAATTATGTCGTTCTGTGGTTGACATCATTCTTTTTCGTTTTTTTTCTTCCAATATGTAATTGCAGCATTATGTGAAACCAATGACAAAACAAACTTATCCTCATTTAATCGGAAGAAAAAACAACAGCACATCATATAACCAACATATAAAGCTACGCAGCACGCATTTCGTTAATAGTCTACAATGACAAATCAAACCGTCGCCAGCTTTATCACGTTACCGGTAGAGCTTGTCTACCGAATTATGGACCACCAATCGGATTTTACAATTATATGCTCAATGACAAATGTATGTGAACGTTTCAACAGCATTCTCGGTAGTTATGATAGATATCAGGTAAGTTTTTTTTTATCGTGATAGCTTAATTCTTATTTATTAGTCTCTCGAATTATCTTTCATTCCCACAATCTTCATGCAAGTAGAATGACTTCAATAAAACATACGTGAATAAACTCTTTGTCATCCTAAATAATTCATCAGCCATCACTCTCTCTTCAAAAGTTCATTTCTTATATTATGACAATATGAAAAATAGATCCCTTTTTTCTTTCTATTCAATTTCATGTAAACATTCCACGTTTCAAACTAGGCATGATGTCATAAACATATAATGTTTACATAAGAACGACCAAAAAACGAACAAAACATTTCTATTTGCGTTTTATAGGCATCTCAGCACATCTTATTTAAATATCATTTCGATAATAAATATCAGCTTTTGACAGAAACTAATCATCAATAAACTACTTTATCTTGTTGTAAACAACGTTCTTGACATTTCTATGAGAAATACTTCCGACAATTACTTCTTAAAAAGCATAACTACCTGTGGGTACAGGTGACGGTAGATGTGGATCGAGAGAAGATTGGCTCATATCAACATCAATATCCATATTCTCATCCGATCACATCACTTACAACCATACTGTCAAAGTGAAATATCTCTTGAAGAAATACTACTTCTATAGTGAATCTTTTCCAAACTAATTGTTCGAAAATAGATTTCATCTGAAGCACAATTCCCCAAGGCCGAAATTTCGAGAACAGTTCGTCAGTGCTATTTTCTTATATGATCTTCTAGTATGCATTCGTCTTCTATTTATAATGAGTACAACATTATCGAGTAAATTGTTCGACTTTTCACTTTTATAAACCAATGATCCCTTATGAGCACAACTGTATGGTGGCATTGAAAGAAACTATCGAAAACAATATATATCCTCATTTACATAAATCATAAGCATTAACATGGTCAAGTTTGATACATCACCCCGAGTTCTGATGCAAAATACATATCGAGTCTTATCAATGAACATGAAAGAAAACCATCCACAAACTACTGACCAGAAACAACCCTTCGTATTACCTACAAAATATTAACAGCCGCCGCATCACACTTTACTGCGCTGTAAACTATATACTAACATACATTGTTATATGGGCACATAATATCATGCTTCGCAAATATTTTTCCCAGAAGTACCTTACAAACTATTTTCCGTTAATCAGTAAATTGTTTTTCGTTTCACAAACATTTGAGACTTACAGCAACTCATAGAGAAAACGTTTTCATCTCCAATTCACCCGTCTTAATTTCTTTTCAATCTCAATTTTCATAAACCATCATCACCAACTATAGAACATCTGGAATCCTATAAATACTCGTATTGGTATCCACAGGCTATACAACAGAATCAAGACAGCATTCATTGTATTGCTCTAACCTGACAAAACATCCACCGACTATTCTCTCTCTTCATCTATACCATGTGTTTACTTCCATATTCTCATGTAGACCCTTTCCACTCTAAACCTTTCGAACGAAGGAATCCGAGATGTTGAAGCACGATGTTTGGGTTATGCATTACAAGACAACACATTAACTGCCATTTTCTTTATCTGTATCATCTCTTTACCATCACTTTTTCATCTAGACACTCACCACACTAGATCTCTCGTACAATCAAATCGGAGATGATGGCGCAGAATCGTTGGGTGATGCATTACAACACAATACAGTAACTCACATCATCTTTTTATTTAAGCTATGTCGTTACCTCTACTTTTTGATGTAGACACTCACTACACTAGATCTCTCGGACAATCAAATCGGAGATAATGGCGCAGATTCGTTGGGTGATGCATTACAACACAATACAGTAATTCGCATTCTCTCTTTTTTTATACCAAGTCTTTATCTCCGTCTTTTCATCTAGACACTCACCACACTTGATCTCTCGGGCAATGAAATCGGACATGTTGGAGCACAATCGTTGGGTGATGTATTACAACACAATACAGTATCTCTCATTTTCTCTTTATCTAAATTATGTCTTTACCTCCGTCTTTTCATCTAGACACTCACCACACTAAAGCTTAGGAGCAATTGCATCAAAGATGTTGGTGCACGATCTTTGGGTAATGCATTACAACACAATACAGTAACTCACATCATCTCTTTATTTAAACTATATCTTTACCTCCACGTTTTCATCTAGACACTCATAACACTAGATCTCTCGTACAATCAAATCGGAGATAATGGCGCAGATTCGTTGGGTGATGCATTACAACACAATACAGTAACTGTCATCATCTCTTTATTTAAACCATATATTTACCTCCACTTTTTCATCTAGACACTCATTGAATTAAATCTCTCATACAATTACATCGGAGATGTTGGAGCACAGCATTTGGATGATGCATTACAACACAACACAGTAACTGTCATTTTCTCTTTATCTAAGCTATGTCTTTACCCCCACTTCTTCATCTAGACACTCACCACATTAAACCTTTATAGAAATCAGATCGGGTCTGATGCAATGCATGTAATCGATGTATTAATTGAAGGAAAGAAGAAAACAGTGAATGGTACTATCAAATGTAGTTGGATCATGATTAAATCACTGGCAATGATCATGCTAGTATTTTTTTTGTGTTATAGTTTTGAGAGAAACTTTGAATAGAACTGCTTGATTTCAAATTTAATCTTTATTGTGGTAATAATGGAATTATTAATATTTGATGATGAGTAAGAGACTGATCTCAAAACATAGAGGTTTTGATGAAGTATTTTGTGAGCCTGCAGCGTTTACAAAATTAAGCCGATATGGTATTTAGCTACTGTAAAATTCCAGAAAGTTTGTGTTCTGCGGTGCTTCGCCAAGAATGGTTTTTTGTTGTAGTAGCAAAACTCTGAAAGTTTGCTTTGAATAATGTCGAAAGATAGAAGCTTTCCTGTGATAATATTAAAACCCTGCGACGTCCTTTTCAATAATGGTAAAGAAAAGGATCGTGTCGGACGATAATGAATCGGAGAAGTTTTTCTTCAATAATACTGAACAGTAACATGTGTGGTATCGATTAGTTTTGGGAAATACAAAATTTTGTTTGATAGTACTGAATTCAGATATATTCTGTGTTGAACAAAGTATGATCGTTTTAGTTTTGCAGAATTTCTCAAGACTTTGTAGTTGAACAACTGAATCATCAAGAATGTATCCAGAGATAGAAATAGTTTCAGTACGGAACAGTCATTTAAGTACGAGAACTATTTTTTTGAAGTGAGTTTGTATATGCTCAGTAGTACTATCGTATTTGCTTCTGTTATTTTTTGTACTTAGTTACACGGTCTGATTCTAACATCAGATATGACTGTATTTCTTTGCAACTAAACAAGAAGCATTTGTTGCTTATTGAGTTTAACTATAGAAATCCGTTACTTTGAAACATGATTCTGTTTCTTCAACTAGTTTTAGTTGTTTATCATAATGGCTAATAGTTAATAGATTTAGAAATAATTTAATCTACATCCATCAGTTACGATTTGTACTGGAAGAGCGTCGTCTCAGCGATAAACAAAGACACTCGACATAGCTGCTCTATGGAATCTATGCAACACTTTCCGATTTGCTTTCTTTAGGGTGTGGACGAGGGTATTACATTGACCTTATTGTAACACTCGCGTCTTCAAGATGGTTTATTTTGATTATAATTTTTTCTTTGAAACCAAAAGCAAAAGATCTTCTAGATATGTCAATAAATATCATTTCCTTTTTTTTTATATCGATGAGTTAAAGTTTCAAGGCATTCTTGAATTCGACAAGATATGTGAAATTTTGACTCCACCTTAACAAAATAAGAATAATATAATTATCTTTCGACGAAAAATAGTTCGATCAACAACATGGCATTTGTTGTATTTTGACATATACTAAAGGTAACGAAATCAGATTTTATTGGATATGAAAGAGAAGAAAAATGCCAATTGATAAATATTTTATATGTTTGCTATTTAAAATCATAGTTACCCTTTTCTTCAATTTGATTCACTTGTAAGAATAATATTCCTCATACAGCACGCGAAGCTTCAATGAAAAATCATTCTCGCTACTGTCAATATTTTCTTTTAATTTTTATATTATTAAACAAAAATCTTGTTACATCGGAATCGAATATTGAATGTCGATTTGATGAACAAGATGATAATATCTTTTGGATTGGTGAAACAATTACTGGTTTCGTTGATTTTGTTAACAAAGATAATACAGATTTAAAGTTAGCACGTATCGATGGTGAATTAATTGGTGAAGTTGTTGCTCTAGTGAGAGTAGAAACCGAATCCGATGAGGTGGAAAAGGAAGAGGAAGTAAAAGAAATAATATTCAATCAAAAAATTCTCGTTCATCCACATCATACAAAAGGTTCGTTTTCTGTACGACGTGGCAAACAAAGTTGGCCATTTCGTTTTCAACTTACTGAAGATTTACCACCATCGTTTGAACAAAAGAAAATTGACATAGTCAAAATTCATTATTATATTCGTTTTTCTTTTATTCGTCCTGAATGGCACAGATTCAATATTCATAAAACTTGTCCGATTGTTGTGAAACAACCAGGAAGACTTTTAAGTTCAACTACACTTAAAACAGAAAAAACAAGTCGCAACGGTGTTCGTCTTCGTGTTACTTTCGAGAAAAATGTTGTTATTGCTGGAAATAATGTTTCCTTCAATGTTGATTTAATTAATCCAAAAGACAGATTGATACGCTATGTATCACTTGTTCTTACTCAATATGTTGAATGCGATTCTCGAGAAAAAGCTTTTAATATCATCAAACAAGATTTAGATCATATTAAATCACTGAAGCATAAGAGTATTAATAGAAACTTTCAAATACCTATACCATCAACAACTCCAGTGACATTTAATTTTGGTAATTCGATTGCTAACTATTATAAACTTCATTTTGAAGTTCATCTCCGTGGAATATTTACCAATATTAAACTTGAAGTTCCTATTATTGTCATGGATTTAATACCAGAAACAAACGATAATGAGGATGATCAGTAAATCTATTATTATTATACTCACAAATAATTTCGCTCAATAAAGAATTTTTATGAAGGCCAACTCAACAATGCTTTCAATTGAGGGTGTGGATATGTAGACGTAGGTGCTGAATGAATACAGTATACAGATTAATAAAAACTTGAGTTTATTTATTTATTAACAAGGGTGGGTGTGGGTGTGGGTGTAGGCGAGGATGTTGGTGCTGTGTTATACTTTTACTTACACCCATCTATGACTTCATATCTACGAATTAATTCATTATATCGATCTGGATGCACATAGCTACTTTCTTAAATTTTTTTGTATATAGCCAATCTGTTAATGTAAAAGATAATGACTAGACCATCTAAGATATTTATTTTTTCAAAAACAAAGAACAAAAAAAGCTAAAAATGGTCTTGACATGAACATGTGCCATTCGTCGAGAAGTGATGAATGCAACTAGCATCACGAACCACAATTTCCACTTGCCGAATTTTGGCAATTAATTTTGTGGCTTGATCTAGAAAAAGATATACAGACGTTACTAACAACGATTGAGAAAAACTAATAACTTACGACAATCACCGCAAACACGAAGATTCTTCGTGATTTGAATGAAAGATGGTTTTCTTCCTTCAATAAAATTGAAGGCTATAGCCAACCTTTCACTATGCGAACATAAAACAGATTCAGCTGTTTCATGTTCGCCTAATGGACGCGTAATCCAACTTGCATCATGAACATGCCCATATTTAATTAGCTCAGTTGATATTCGTTGAGCCTCAGCATAGATTTCTTTTGATCGAGGATGAGACTGATCATGAGCTGTGAATTGCTAAAAATAATTAATAAACTATTTTCTTTAGAAGTTTATTTTTTATAAAAAAAATTCTCTTACCACTACTTCCCCATTAACTTCAGTCCATGATAAACCTACTTTAGCTTTATTTCCGAATTCTTTAATTCGATCTAATCGAAGAGCTTGTGCCTCTTCATGATCTCCTAACGATGAAGATATATTACAAAGAAGAACTGAAGCAGATATTAAATGATTTTTTTCATTTGGAAATAATAATTGCATTCGTTTATGGATTTCTTGTGACAAATGAGATTGTCGAGAATTACGTGCACCAGATAGAAGTGCCACTAGAATTAAAAACAAATTACTAATTAAGAAAAATAATTTTATATTGTAAACAGAAACACTCACTATACATTACTGAATATGGTGCATTACACTTTTCATAGTCTTCTATGAGTTGTTTTGCTTCATCAAATAAAAAAAGACGACTTAAACAATCAACCTAAATCCTGGGAAAATCTTTGTATTAAACAAAAAATATAAAAAAACCATACCATTGTAGTAATAACTTGTTGCGTTTTATGAGAAATTTCATTGAAAATTGAATAAGCTTCGTCAAGAAGACCTGAATGTGAACATGTATTCAGTATACAAATATATGAAATTTCATTTCGTAAATTATTAGGCATCTTTCGATATAAATCAACAGCTTCTAATCCCATACGATTTTTTCCATATGCATTAACTTCAATGACAAAGTAGAAAAAATTAGATAATTAAAAATAAAATAAAATCTATTTACTCATTGCATTATATGTAATAACATCAGGTTGATCAACTGATTCAAATATTTGTTGAGCATTTTTCACTAGACCAGCTTTTCCCTGTAATCAAAAAAAAATTAATTGCTTAGAAAATCTTCATAATAAATATATACCCACATACTAATTAATGCATTACATATATATTGATTATTATATAAATCTGATGGAAATTGATTAACAGTTGATTCACATATTGAACGAATACCAATTTTTGCACACGTATCAATCAATATTAATGATACAATTTTATCGATTTTTATCTCATTTTTTTTCATTTCTTCAAAAAGTTCCAAACTTTTTAATGGTTCATTATTTATATTATATCCTTTCATCATAGCGCCATAAGTAATAATATCCTTTTTTTCAAACATTTTAAATAAAATTTCAGCATTTTTTATATCACCAAATTTCATTAACATATCTATAGCTGAATTTTGAATATATTTATTCTCTTTTAAGTTCTTCGGCATTTCACCTAGAAGTCTTCTTCCAATTTGTTTTGCACGATCATTTGAAAGTTGAGCACATGCATTGAAAATAATCGTATAACTAATATCATCAAGATTTAATTGTATTTGTTCAAATAAATCTAATGCTTTATCACACATTTTATTTAATGTATATCCTAAATTGAACTTTTTAAGATCTAAAATTTATTCTAATAATTTACCTTTCAACATAGTATTATAAGTTATAATATCTTTTTTCTTTATTATCTGAAATAACTTTTCGGCATTTTTAACATCACCGAATTTGATTAACATATCGATTGCTGAACTTTGAATATATTTATTCTCTTTAAAGTTCTTAGGCATTTCATCTAGAAGTTTTCTTCCAATTTGTTTTGCACGATCATTTGAAAGTTGAGCGCATGCATTGAAAATAATCGTGTAACTGATATTACTGAGATTTACTTGTATTTGTTCAAGTAAATTTAATACATTATCATGCATATTATTTAACGTATATCCTAAATTGAATTCTTTAAGATCTAAAAATTCATTTTCATAATTTACCTTTCATCATAGCACCATAAGTAATAATATCTTTTTTCTTTATTATCTGAAATAGATCTTCGGCATTTTTAACATCACCAAATTTCATTAACATATCTATAGCTGAATTTTGAATATAATTATTTTCGTTAAATTTCTCAGGTATTTCATTTAGAAGCTTTCTTCCAATTTGTTTTGCACGATCATTTGAAAGTTGAGCACATGTATTGAAAATAATCGTATAACTGACATTACTGAGATTTAATTGTATTTGTTCAAATACATCTAATGCTTTATCACACATTTTATTTAATGTGTATCCTAAACTGAACGTTTTAAGATTTAAAAATTCATTTTCATAATTTACCTTTCATCATAGCATTATAAGTGACAATATCCTTCTTCTTTACTGTTTGAAAAAGATCTTCAGCATTTTTAACATCACCAAATTTCATTAACATATTTATTGCTGCAGTAAGTAGAATATTATCATTTAGAAAATCTCCTGACATTTCATTAAGAAATTTTCTTCCAGTTTGTTTTGCTCGATCATTATTAATTCGAGCGCAAACACTAAATAACATAATGAGAATAATGCGACTAGGTTGAATTTTCATTTCATCAAATAAATCAAGTACTTTATCTAACATATTATTTGAAATGAGACCTAAAGATAAGTTAATGAAGAATAATCAAATGATAGAAATAATAAACAACCTTTAATCATAGTTGCATAGATACAACTGGATTTATTAGTTATTGTCAAAAATAAACGATAAGCATTATTAATATCATGACGTTGTACTAGAAATAAAAATGGAAACGAAATATTATTTATCATATTTGCTTTATAATGTTAATCTGAAATGTTTTTTTTGAATAAATTAACAAATTTTCTATGTAAAAGCTCGTAAGTTTCAATTTAGAATTTTGACAGTTCTTCATTATTTTTACTATTATTTCCAACGATCAAAATAAATGACAAAAAAAGATTTATAGATATACTTGAATTCATAATCTAGCCTTTGACACTTTCCAGTTATATGAAAAAAAAGGAAGTTGTGTTCTTAAAAAAATTTAGCTTTCAGAAAAAATAATCTTCTCACATTGAACAATAATGAAATACTTCAAGAATATCAACTATAGAAAATTTTTAGTATAATGATAAAATCTTTTAAATATTCAATTAAATTGCGAACAGTTTAGTTGGAAAAGTAAAATACTTACTATACAATTGAAAAAGTGGTGTTTGTGTAGAAGAATTGGTAAGTGAGTTTTGAGAAAGTTTTTTTATTATTGTATAGATTTGTTTCGATGATGATTGGATTGATAATATACGACGAAACATAACTAAACTAACTATAACCAATATATTCTATAAAAAAAATACAATATTCATATCAATTAGAAAAAAACAATATTAAAATGATTTGTAAATTACATTTCATAATTGTATTTTTATCAAACATTTAATAGAAATACTTTAGAATTTTATAGTTATCTTACAAAACCAATCACATAAAATGAAAAACTAGTTAGTATATAAAGAGTTATCGATAGCTGTCGTTGGTTAACTATATTAGTTCAGAGATATTTGAACTTCTTCTCTATTATTTACAGCCCATTAAAGTTAGAGAAAATTCTCATTTTGTGCTGCTGTCGTTTCATGAACTAATAACGTACTTTTTTTGCGCTATCGTAATAGTTTTCAATAGACGGAAATATATTTCACCGAAATTTTTAAGAGAAAAGGCTTTTTACGTGTTTCTTGTTTTATCGGATTTGTATTTAGCTATGTGACTTTTTTTAGTATAGAAATCACAGAAATCTGAGTGTAGTTGAAAAGGTTAAAAATCTTATAGCATATTTTTTATCCTATATGTGCTTATAAAAGAATAAAAGGTATCATAGAAATATTCAACATGTTGTCGAGTGGTTGTATCTTATAAAGAATAACAAAGAAAGAAGAACCAAGTTTAAAAAGTTAAACCTCAGAAGTATCGGATTAAAATATTTTTATGAAGAAGAATTTCTCATTTTCGAATGAGAACGTTATGATGAAGTCATTTTTTGACTATGAAAGTTTTGTTCTATATTTTTGGCGGACACAGACAGCCACGGCAGCTAAAAGAGAAGTTTTTTTCTTTTGCTTCGGTATTCTCTAAGATATTATGCTTGGAAATCTTGAATATTATTTCAACCGATGAATTTTTACCGTGCATCAATTTGATATATCGAATTTTTGCTGAAAAAGTTTCTTTGAAAAGACTGAGCAAAAATTCAAATCTCATTTGTTATCTGGCTTCCAGAGATTGGTCCGATTCGGTTCCGTTCGAGACACACAAACCGATCAAAATTTGATATTCAGATCGGTGATGAAGAGTAATCCAGAAAAGAAAACTGCGAAAGAGAAAAATCGAGAAAAATTTTATGTGAAGTTTATTAATGATAGAAGACATAACAAGTAAAAAGTGTCGAAATATTAGGGACACTCTGATGGGCTTATTTCCTCGAAGCCACCAGAAGCGAGAATTCTTCGAGAAGCTCAGTACGATCGATGTCGTCATTGTAGTAACGAGTGTTCAGAGCGTGGATGGGTGCGGGTAAGGTTGTGAGTATGGATATGGATGGATGTGAGCGAGTGGATGTATAGGTATAGACTACTCTTCTTCCACATCAGTATCCTTACCTACACCCACACCCACACCCTCAAGAATCGAATATTGAATGTCGATTTAATGAACAAGATGATAATATCTTTTGGATTGGTGAAACAATTACCGGTTTTGTTGATTTTATTAACAAAGATAATACAGATTTTAAATTAGCATGTATCGATGGTGAATTAATTGGTGAAGTTGTAGCCAAAGTAGTAGAAGAAGCCGAAAACGGTGTAAATGTGGAAAACGAAGAGAAAGAAATAATATTCAATCAAAAAATTCTCGTTCATCCACATCATACAAATGGTTCGTTTTCTGTACGACGTGGTAAACAAAGTTGGCCACTTCGTTTTCAACTTACTGAAGATTCACCACCATCGTTTGAACAAAAGAAAATTGACATAGTCAAAATTCATT